GTCGCCTGGGGCGGAACCACCTGGTCAGTTCCTCCTCCCTACAGTGAGGGTTTAGCCTCCGGAAGTCAAGCCTCAGTAGGTAGTGGTCTGACCACGACAGGGGGATGATGTCATTACCCCTCAGACCAAGATCACAAATCCACTGCTCCGAGAGGAATACGAGGTCGAGCATGTGACCCGCTGAATGGGTTGGGCCCCGAATTACCTGGGTCAAGCCCATGGCTGTCATGGAAGCCATGAGCTCCTGCGCTCCATCAGAGTGTTCACCGAGCGACGGCAAATTGAAGTCCCCCAACACCATAAGCTTGGGGAACTCAATTGCTAGCTCGGCTACTGACTCGAGGAGCGAGGGGAGGGCTGCTGCAACGCAGTTGGGAGGCAGGTACGTTAGCTCTTGGGGCTCCCTTGAAGCAGGGGGATTTGCTCCAACTGCTTCTCCCACTGTTGATTTCTGGCCAGGTCAATTTCCACATCCGCAACCAGCACGTACCAGCGCTGAAGGTCTCAGGGAACCCCTCTGTTAACACAGTTCTGGTACACATCGTTAAGGCCATCTTTGTAGCTGTCCATCAGCACTTCCTGGAACCATCCCTCCATGTGCACAGCCAGCTCGCGAACCTCCTGAGTGTATTCTGCCATTGATCTCTGACCATGGGTTAAGGATTTCTGGTTCTTGCCTTCACCCAGTAAGCGTGCCTTCTGTGCCAGCTCCGCGGGGCTTGGGACTCCGAAGCAACCCCCTGGCTCCCCACCCAGCCACCCACCTCCTCTCTTTGCAGATCGGTCTCACCAACTGTCGAGCGCCACTTCCTGCCAGCGAAGAAGCAGAGCGTGAGGCATGGAAGCCACCTGCTGGTGGTTGGACGGCAACCCCCTTGACGGGGAGAGGGCTAGGCCGCGCCACCGCAGAGTCCACGTACTTCCCCTTTGTCTTCGGCGGCAGCCCATGGCACTTTTCCTTCTGCCTAGGCAGCAGCACTTCATCTTGGCAAACACCACGTCACCGCATTTGTCATCGCGGAATCAGCTGGAGCGGGACATGGCGCAGGAAGAGGCTGATGTAGACCCCACAAGGCAGCCCTGGCCATGCGATCACCACGCGGAACTGCCATTCGCTTTCTTCCTTCTCCCGCCACAAAACGAAAGTGAACAGTGTTTCCATGGTTGTGGTCCGGGAAGGCAGCGGACGTCTGCAACCAGGTAGGGAGGAAGGGTGACGAGAGCAGCGGCAGTGGCCCCTTCCAAGCCCAGTGCATGGAGGATCCGGGCAAGGTGGGCAAGGCGGCTCCAGTGCACCTCTTGCACTGGATCGCTCGGCCAGGGCTGCCTTGGCGGGGGCTGCATCAGCCTCTCCTTCCATGCCATGTCCCACTCCGGCTGGCCACATGACTACAAGTGCAGTGATGTGTTTGCCCAGATGAAGCACCATTGCCCAGGCTGAAGGGAACGTGCCGCAGGCCGCCACCCAAGACGAAGGGAAAGCTCCCCAGGCTCCACAGTGGTGGCCCTTTCCCTGTGCGAGGCGCTGGCGCCCGGCCACCAACAGCTTCCACGCCTCTCGCTCCACTTTTTTGGGAAGCAGCACCGTGGCTGAAATCTCCTTACCCCAGACACCGGATTTCACAGGCCGAGTTCCCGGAGTGGCACCAGCAGTTGGCCGGGGCGATCTGCAAAGAGAGCAGGCAGGTGGCTGGGTGAGTGGGAAGCCAGTGGGCTGCTTCAGAGCCCCAAGCCTTGGTGGCTCAGGTGGAAGGTGGCCTTTTTTGCAGCATCCCCTTCCCCTCTTTGGATCGTCTTCCAAGTGGGGACTCTGCCTTTGCAGAAACAGGGTGGGCAGTTTGTACGGAGGATTGATGGAGGGAGGCAAGGCTCTCAGGGATGGAGAG